TATGGGTTACCGGATTACACAGAAATAATAAATAGGTCAGTGAAAGAAATGTGGCAAAAATCATGGGAAAACGATAGAAAGGGGAGAACATATTCAGTACAAAGAACTGTAGAGAAAGGAATATGTGCTTTTAGAGAAGAGATGCAGTAGTTCTATCCAGACTGAGATTTGGGCACTGTGGGCTGGCTCTGACTGGTAAACACCCTGATGGAAAATGTGAATGTGGAGACAAGGAAACAGTGAAGCATGTATTAGTTCTTTGTAGAAAATACTCTCGCCAAAGGAGGAAATTGTTTAGAGACCTGGGAGCAATTGGAGAAACTATATTTAGCATACGCACCCTAGTTAACTTAGATAGTTGGAACAAAATGAAGAAACTGATCGAATACCTACATAAAACTGGTTTATACAAAAGGATATAGGCAATTAGCGTTAAGATGTGAATAGCGAACAGAGGAGGGCAGCAATACGTCACAGATGCGTCTAGTCTGCCGGAAACAAAAAGAAGAAGAAGAAGATAGTTACGTTAGTTTACGTTAGCTAACGGTTGCTAACGTTAGCATAACCAGATGCGGCAAACTCACTCCACATACTGCCTCCGGTCATCCCAGAGTACGGTTATAAAATAAAGTCACAGAACAGAAAACAACACTTTCACAGCGCTGCAACGAAAGCCGGGTTCTCTCAAACTTGGTAAATTATTTATTAATTAACTGTGTTTCAATCAGCATTGTGCAACGTTGGGCAGCGGGCTTCCCCGTTTGGTGGGCGTGTCAGAGGTGTTACCCAATCAGCTGCAACACATTTATAAACACAGCTGTGGTTAAAAATGCATTAAAAATCATATGTTTTGCTACGTTTTGTCCGCTGAATTCAGCCTAGATCCAGTGGTGACATCAAGGTCCTCTAGTCGCGCATCCCCTCTCGTTTCTTCTTCTTCTTCTTCTTCTTCTTCTTCTTCCTCTTAGTTAATGGCGGATTGCAAACAACTTTTAGGTGCATACCGCCACCTACTGTACTGGAGTGGGTAACATCATATCACTCAACTACAAAACTCATTAATAAGGTGCTCTCATATTCTGTTCCCCAACCCAGTGCTCTACTACCTCATCCCCTCAATCTACACCGACATACACAGTCCAGATCTGAATGTTTCTATATCTGTTCAGTTCCCAGATGAGACGCTGTGGAGCATTTAGCTGCTCAACATGATCGCAGCTGTCATTGACTCCATATAAACAGCTGATGAGGAAACTCCTCTGCAGAACCTTTAGTCTGGTTCTGATCCAGGTTGTGTTCAGTAAGCAAGTCTCTCTGTGTTGCAGCTGCAGGAGCTGATGTGTCACTGATGGGGTGCCTGGTGATGTTCAGGAAGGACTCTTTGCTCAACATCTTCAGTGAGACACTCTCAGGACACCTGTCCTCGCATCTTCTTCCTGTGTCCACCTGTCCTTGCGGCTTCTTCTTCGTGTGTCCACAGTTTAGTCTCTGTACTGGGAGACCTTCGAGTATTACAGCATCTGTCAGCTGTTCCTGGCTCAAAGCATCCCCCTGGAGACCATCATCCCCATCCTGCAGCACCTTAAATATAAAGGTGAGAGGTGTCCAGGAAAGGGTCCCTGTCCTCCAGTCTAATCAGTTCTCTGCCTCCTTTTGTCTTTGTGTTCCTAGGCCGGAGGCCTTGTCCTGCCTGCTGCTGCTCCTCAGAGAGAAGTATGACAGGAACACACCTGGACACTCGTCTTGGAGACTCCTGAGTCCCAGTTAACATCTGTCTGTGTCCCAGGCCCAGTGAGTAGTCCCGTCACCCCGAGGACCAGTTCACCACCAGCATCCTGAGACACTAGGTGTCCAATCACATCAAGGGCCAGCTGATCAAGAACAATCAGCCCCACAAGAGACACAGGTGAGGACAGGCTGGGACAGATGTGGACAGACAAAACAGGTGTGGACTGACGGGTGAGGACAGAAAGGAGAGAGGTGAGGACAGGACAGACAGAGAGAGGTGAGGACAGACCAGACAGACAGGTGAGGATTGAGACAAGTGAGAACAGAAAGGACAGAGGTGAGGACGGCCTTTTGGTACTTGTTGAACAGCGGTTGTGTCTCCGCCCTCAGTCTTCACAGTTCCAGCAGTAAACTGGCTCGGCTCACCCTGGAACAGATCCTGGAGCTCATGGACAACCTGAGCGACACAAAGATCAGCTGTCAGTACACACAGGCTTATTGATCGCTTCAGGAGGGACTGATGGCTGATTGATTGTGTCTGTCTCTGCCAGTCTTCACTCAGACCCCGATCCTTCAGGCTCTGCAGCTATGGGTGGGCAGGAGGGTGAGTGTGAGCATTCTCAATGTGACAACCCTGTCCATTATTTAGTGACTGGTAGGCTACCTTATCTGCCTTTTTGCTATCTTGGTTATTAAGTAATATATTCCACCTTGTTGTCCACCTTTAGGTGGCCTGCATTACAACAACATGGGGCGCAGCGTCAAAGATGCGCTTTTTGTAGTCCATCTTCAGAACATTGTAGTTTCATCACGGCAGCTCACGGCAAATCCGCCGTCGCATAATTACGTCGCTTAGAAAAGAGCAGTCGGATTCTCTTAGACCCGCGGTCCCCGCGCTTCAGATGCTGCACAAGCGTGTTAATCCTCACTTCCTGTGTCCCCTTTGTGGCACTTCGCACTAAGAGTATAACTGAACATGTAGATGTGTTCGGGGTGGGACTCTTCTGAAACATGTTAAGTGTGGTACAGATCTGAGCATGTACAGTCAAGTTACAACAACTTCCTGTGTCATGGCAAATCATTGATATGGATAACTGTCCATATGGATATGGAACCCACGCCATTCAATGACAACTCACTGTTTGTACAACTTTTAATTGTCAGTGGCTTTAGAGTAGACAGGGAAAATCTGAAATCGGTCGCACTAATTCTCTAGGAGGAGTTCGTTAAAGTACGTAGTGTGTACAAAAACAAAAAATTCCAAAAATGACCATAAAATTCAAAATGGCCGACTTCCTTTTGGATTCAGGGCATCGCTCCAAGAGGCTTTTTTGAACATCTGGACATGTGCCACAGAAATTTCGTACATGTAGGTGAAACGTGCCATGGGGGCTTCTTCGTTAAAGGTAATTTCCTGTTGCGAGTAGGTGGCGCTATGACTATGGGTGAATATCGGCATATACATGTGTTTAGGGTGGGACTGTAATTAAACGTGTAAAATTTCGTAAAGATCTGAGCATGTACAGTCAAGTTACAAAAACCTCCTGTGTCGCGGTTAAGCGTGGAACTTCGCCACCACGCCACCACATTAACCGAAAACTCACAAGTTTTACAACATGGCCTCATGAATGTGTTAAGGGTTTCCTAGGACTGTTGCTGAAGTTGATATGTCCAATCTGCTAGGAGTAGTACATTACAGCGTAAATTGTGTCATTTCCGGTTGCCAGCAGGTGGCGCTATGACATTGAGTAAATATTGGAATATAGATGTGTTCAGGGCGAGACCCTTAATATACATATCAAATTTGGTCCAGATGTGAGCATGTATACTGAAGTTATAACTTCCTGTTTCATGGCGAATCATCGATACTTCACAGCACGCAACTGGCAAACTGGTCGACTGGTAATAACTGTTTGACTTTTAATCGTCAATGGGTTTAGAATGCACAGCAAAAATTTGAAGTTGATTGGACTAAACACCGAGGAGGAGTTTGTTAAAGTATGTAAATCGCCAAAAATGACTATTTAATCCAAAATGGCCGACTTCCTGTTGGGTGTCGGGCATCGCTCCAAGAGGCTTTTTTGTACGTCTGGCCATGATACACGTACCACAGAAATTTCATACACGTAGGTGAAACTTTGTCCGGGGGCTGCTCTGTAGTATGTTTAGGCCCCCAAAATTGAGGTTACTTTGCAGTTCCAATAGGGACCTCACACGTTTCGTCCTCAGGCCCTAAAAATAATCCCTTCAGTTTCTAATAATCCTATCTGTAATGATTCTGAGGTCATGTGTTTTCCTGCCATTATGAGGTGGTGAGACTCAAGACTGCTTGGTGCGCAATGAATGTAAAATCATTGTGGAGAGCATCAAAACTAACCAAATTAATTTATAATTCAACCCCAGTAGACTTATTTTGCGAGTTTAGCTTTTAGGGTGTAGTTAATTATTTGTCTCCCTGTCTGCTCCTCTGAGTTTATCCATCAGCAGTAGGTTAAGTTTTATAAAGTCGCCAAGAAGATCCAGTCCGGTGATCCATTTTTCACGGCAGCAGGTCAATCGCATGCCAGCTTGTTAATTACGTAGCTTATCAATGTTATCGTCCATTGCCAATTTTGTAGACATCACTCAACCCTAATTTGAATGCATTGATTTACTCTGCAGGTAATTTTGTGACTGTATTTTTTTTGTGCGTTTCTTTTTTTAAGTCGTGATAGGCTTTAAATTTGACCAGGTGAAACCTGCAGTAACCTTGATATTGTTCCATTACCTCGTCTACCTGACTTAAAAATTTGCAGTGTGAGACTTCTTTATTTTAAACAATCTTTTATTAGCTATCTTTATTTACTTATAAGGACATTTCTTGTGGGGTGAGGGCATGAAGGAAGGCGTAATTTTTTTTTTCTTCAACTCTACCTCTGATTGGCCAGTATTCATTGCCTCCGTTGCTTGGTTAGGGTTAGACAATCAGAGGCAGAGTAGGAGGCAGGACTTGACTTGGGAGATTGATATGTCATATCGTCATGGAAGACACCAAACCTTGGTCTTTTCCTGGGGAGCTGCCTGGGTTTCACTTGATGTGGATGTGGTGACAAGTAGAAAAATACTTCATTATGTCTATTATGGTGCGCTCAAACTCACATTAAAGTGAAAAGAAGAAGAAAAAAACTCTTCAATGTATACATACTACTGCTCCACAACAAACATATAGACCAGCAGTAAAAAGATAAATAAAATGGAGTGCATCTGCCTCAATTCTAAAAACACACTCTGAATCATCATCTCGTGAATTTAATCAGTCATATCATTTTAACAAAGTCATCACCTGAACAAGAAAATTATAACATTTAACATAATTCATATTTGAGTCATAAATCTTTGAATATGTTACAAAATTATATTTTAATGTTGTAAACGCAACAAAATGCAAAAATCTATGACATAGCAAAGTCTGACAGAGGAATGTGATGTTATGCTTTCAAAGAAAGATACATTTTGGTTCATATATTCAATGGAATAGGCTGCAACGTGTGAGAGGTTCACTAATACATGAGAATTCAAACTAAACATTTAGATGACAGCAGATGAGTGAAAACATATGCCAAACATGTGCAACTTTATTACTTGGATGATAATAGCAAAACTTTTCACAACTAATAAGGCGGTCAAAGGGGATGTTTTTATTTCATACTGTCTGTATACTCTTAATATCTTTTTTTAAACTTAAACCCAATTTGTGCAAATACATTCAGATTAGCAGTTACTGTCCATAAGAGGTCAAAGCCCAAAGTTAGTTCTGCTATTATTTGTCAGTAGAGAGTTTCACTCCTTTTAGTCAGCAAATTGTCACATTTGGTTACAATGACTCCAGTGTCTATTTTGAGTGAGGGTGCTAAATTAGCAGCTACTATTTTTGTCCTTGGCCTTTTACATTTTTGTTGTGAAATATTTACATTATTTCTCCAAATAATTACTTATAGAAAATCAATCAATTTAAACTTAAAATTTTCTCACAGCATCCCATCTTGGGGTGCTTACATTTAACTGACTTCATGGTGCTTAGATCAGGTGAAATCAGGTGTTTAACAAAAGTCTCACACTCCCAGAATAGGACCATTTGCAATCTGCAAGTTATGAGAGAACATATCAAATACAATGTCTGATTTTAGTTCTATTCACAATGTTCCTAATTTGTGACAATATATTTGACACCAGCATTTCAGTTACATCTAGTCAGCCTGAGGGCTGTGTGATTATTCAACTTTTGGACCATTTGACATATTTTAGAGGTTCTGTCATTATTTGTTCTTTCTAACACATTTCCAGCTGTTTTCATCTGATCTGTATAAGAATATTTGGTGAGCAACTGTTGAGCCTGTTCTCTTAAGTTAACACAAACATTGGAATAAGAATTAGGAGGAAATGTTCTAAGCAAAGGTCTGATTAAACAGAAGAACACAAAGCATAAATCCAACACCCTTCATATGTACATGACATGTAAATCTTCTTTAAAAACTGACTTCAGATTTTCATTAAGAATTTAGGGGTCTTCACGTTATATCTCAATATCTCACACAGAAACTGTAAAACTATTCAAGATTTTGGGATTACCACTCTCAGTTCACTTCAACATAGGGTGCTTGAACAAAGCTTTCCATGTGTTTTGAAAATTATGTTATTAGAAAAGTAATGTAAAATAATTATGTATAATGTGTCATATCCTTAAGTCAATCTCAAGGTACATAGGCAGTATTCAGGAAGGTTTGGTTTGAAAGCAAATGTGTTGATACAACAAAACACACAGCCTTTGCAGGCCAAATAAAATACACTTTGAGCTTAAGTTCTTAAATGCAAAAAAATAGGTAAAAAAACTGAAAGAAAAAATACCACCCTAACAACTATCTCCTCCAATTCTTTGAGTATTTAATAAGAAACATCGAACAGCAAAAACAAGGTGTGTGGGAATGTTCACGCCATTTAAAAACAGTTTATTTGTGTCAGTGCTGGAAAAAGTGTCCTTTGTGGCTATTTGGTGATGTGAAAGTTGAATAACAGGATCACCCAAACTGCCTAATTCACAAATTATGTCCAAAGCTCCCAAGGCCATTTAGCATAACAGATATTTATTGGTTGTATATATATATATATATATATATATATTTAAATAGTAAAACAGAATAGTGGCACAAGTAAAAGGGTCAAATAATCCACTATGTCACTTTCCCATAACCACAAATATTCCAGTGGTTTTCATTATGATCATAACTTCAGTAACAATGTTGATATTAACAAGGAAAACCTTTGTTTTTAAGTGGTGGAGCCGACAGAATCAGAGTGAAATGTGATGTATCCCGAGGACGATGCCGAGGGTGTGCTTACAAAACTGTTAGTGCTTCCTTTATTCTCGGCCTTGCTCAGGTGCTTCTGATGCCCCCAGTCAGCTCCTGCCCCAGCCCGGGCTCCACCGCATGTCCTGGGCCTGTAGGCAGAGTGCCCTGGAGTCTGCTGGCTACGCCCAGGTGAGCCAACTTCACACTGATGTTTCCCATCTCGCGAGCGCTCCCGGCAGCCTTTACCAGAGCCACAAGTTCCGGGGCTCTTCTTCCCAGCGGGTCTGTCGGGTTTGGGGGAACCCTCAGGTGAATTGCTCCGACTGCTGCTCCTTTTGTGTTCTGAAAGTCGCCTGAGTGCTTGAGGCTCACGCTCAAAGTCTGTGAGCGGGAAATGAGGGAGGATGACTATGTGATGTTCATACACATTGGGTATCAGTGAGATGGTAGATGCGCGCCGGGGGCTCTTCCTGGGGCTCGGCAGCGGCGTCTCATCTATAAAGTTAATTACCTCATCGCGGCTGAAACAGCGCAGTTCGTCCTCATAGTGTTCCCCGCCACAAACCACGCGTGGCAGGTGCTTGAGGGAGTGCATACTATCCTCAGAGCGTCGCCGCTTTCGGTGCGGGTGATGGTGATGATGGCTCTCCTCGTGGTAGGAGACCAGGCTGTTCCTGCGCCTCTCGTGGCGCGGCAAGGTGGAGCTGTAGTGGGCACTCACTATCATGTCCTCGGTGGAGCCCCACCGGTGAAGGTATGAGGGGATCCGGTCGCTGGTCCACATGTCGGTTTCGTCGTGGGAGAATCTTCTTGTAGGGGGCACCTGGATGCAACACACAGACCAAACCCTTCAGTCTATCAATAACTTTGACATGAATTCATTCACCTAGAATTCTACAGCAACACAGAATCAGTAGCATCGTGGCACTGCACATTAAATAAGTAGGCTAACATGTCATATAACATTAATCGCCTATAGATTTGAATACACCTGAATTAACCATTTAAAAGGATATTACATTCTTCAAGATTATGTTACTGTAAATGCCACTATGATAGTAGCCTACACTGCAAATGTAATGATAACACTGATTTGGAGTAGTCCCAATGAACTACTTTGCGTTAATATTTGGGATGACAGCATATGGCTGGGGAAAAACTTGTTATCAATGCAGAAAACAGGTTCGTTTGAGAATTCTTTATCTTTTTAGTAACCTGATTCACCTGTAGTCTTTGTGTAAAATCCTACATGTTGCACAAATAAACAAATTTGTCCAAGATAAAGATATCCAAGATAACTTTTTTTAAAATAACCCTTTAGATATGTATGAACATTTTAGCATTACTACTAACATACTTCAACAGGGTTATAACTGAACTATTATTCACCTCCATTATTTGGAAATGAAAACTGCAAAAGTTGATAGTTCCCTACATGTAATACTCACATTCCATTCTGTTCTGACAACTATGCAAGAGAGAGAGGGTTTGTCAAGGTGACGTCAAGAGCCACAAGATTGATATCAGCCTGCCCCCCTGTGGTGGGTTTCAGTAAATGCAGAGAAATGAGACAGCAGACTATACAGTAGCATTGAGTGTCTTAGGAAGGAGGGCTGAACAGCAGAGGGCAGCACAAGCATCGGAATGAATTAAGATGCAGGACAGACTTGGCAGAATGGAGTGAGAGAGAGACTCACACAACAAGCCAATAAAACCAAAGAGGCTTTATTCTGCACTCATACCACTTGGGAAGTGCCATAGCAATTCTCAAATGGAGGTGCTACTTGATAATGATTTGAAGGGTCGATTCATGGCTTAATTGGGCCGTAACCCTTGAAGCAGCAACAAAACTAGTGACTGTATCACGGCTCAGCCAGTCTTCCTGTAACTGAAATCAAATATGCAAATATTTGTTTCACCATCACACATATACAGCAAAAGATAACACAGCTAAAATATTACTTACACAGTCAGATGGATCTACTGTCGTGTAAAGAGGTGTATCGGACACAACAACAATGGATGGAGTAATGGCTTGGTCTAATGAAGTGATAGCTACTGTATACATCTCTGTTTCAAGGCTTCATAAAATGTCAATAGTGATCCAATCCCCCAGGAGCATTGGTGTTTGAAATGTCCATTATAATGTTGGACAATGTTAGACTGTCCCCATTTAAATAATAAGTGGGTTTTTTTTATATTCAATTCAATATTCATGTTTTTATTCAAGTAAATACTTGGGCTGCAGGCTGTACTGAGGAAACTGAAGCCCTTGTTAAGTTGTTTCTGACAAAGATGACACAGTGTTACGAAGCTTTGTTAAAGTTAATAATGTGTGGGTTGCATCAGTTGGTTCTGAAGTTACATCCTCACCACAGTTTTCCAGGCCAAGTCCAGCAAGATTTTCATCATCATCACTGCTTTAATCAATCATTTTCGTCAATATTGATCCCTTATCCGAATCTGGGCCACAATTTGTGGTTTACAGAGTTAAGTCAGTAACCAAAGTTAAGTAACCAAAGCACAAAATAAGGTTGTGATGAATTGCCCTAGAAGACTGCATGTTAGAACAAGTTTTGAGTGTTAATGCAGGCTGAAAAGGAGCAGCTCTGCATCTGACTGGGATGGATGCCAGAAACAATGGACACAATGCTTTTGGGTAGAACATGAGCAGATGTTTATAGTGGTTTCGTGAAACCTTGAGAGATTCCTGAAATGTAAAAGGTAAGTCAGTTATTAAACTCTTACCCTCTTACAAAATAAAAATGTTTGCATGTAGGTCCATGGCTAGGGCACATTATTCGATAAATGAAGCACTAATATGTTGATGGGACTGCTGATGGTCATATTTACCAAACATTAGTCAGCCAGAGTATATTTCTGATTCACGTAAAAAAGACAAAAAACAGCCTGTGGCAGATCTGGGGGAGATAGCATAACAAAATGTCTGATGATTCCAGAAAATCAGGCCCACAAGGCCATTTCACCATGCACATAAGCAATGAAGTGTCATTTAAAAATAGTTCAACTGATTCAAGTAAAAGAAATGAAGAAAATCAATAAAAAATATACCTGCAAATACTGCATTTTATCTTCCTGTTGTTCCCTCATTGGATACCCTTGCGGAACCCCCCTTTCTAAGGTTGAGAACTCATACTTGGCATTACGGTCTACCGTCACGATTTCAGGCGCCGAGCTATAGTCATATGGTCTGTCATATATTAAGTCGGCATGAATTCCTCCATCTTGGCTGTTTTCTGCAAAGTGCAGAAAAGCACGAGCGTCAGGATTAGAGAGCAACGAACTCAATACACAAGACAGACAGACAGACAGACGAATAGATAAGAGAGACAAGTTCAATTGTTCTCCGAGTTGTTGACTTTTCCTACGGGTCTGCTCAGGAATTTGGGATTTAGTTTCAAAAAATGTTTTGCTACAAAAATGACCAATAATTCGATTCAAATTTTTGAGTTGGGGATAAAAAAAGCCCCATTTTGGTTCTAAATTCAGAAACCATGAGAAATGGTTGCATAAAGAATCTTTGAAAGTACAGGGTTTACATTCTAAACAACTAAATCATACAATGTCAAGGGTTCTTAGTTTACTAATACCCATCTACAAAGTTTAGTTCCCAATTACTGCATTCATGTTCATTAAAGATCAATTGGAGATGGGTGTAAAATGTTGATCTTGAGGAAAATGTTGGCCTAAAAGATGAAAGATGAAAGTAGCTATTTGCACAGGCAGCTTGGCATGCAAGTCAGTAGCTTTGGAAAAACAGGAAACAATCCTTATACATACAACTGTGATGAGTTATACATGGCAAGCCCTCTGGAAAAAAGCAGAGAACTGGCAGTGTTAATTATCACACAGAATATGGACTGCCCTGTGTTGTTTTATGGTTCCTGCTGGACAATGAGCAGTTATCAGGGAGGGTGTCAAGAGGGAGAGGGTCGAAAGGTTTGGAGGGTTAGAAACAGGAGAGAAGGGGTTCAGATCGGGTTGAGTTTAAACAGTGCCAATAGAAAAATGACAAAATAGTTCATACTGTCATCAGTTTGCACGAATTTTGAAGATCCGGTCATCGACTCAGACCACGAACCTTTCTATGATTATCATGTGACCTAATTTTGGGACCAAATTTTAGTGAAGTGTCTGTGATTCCTTGGTGAAATGTTTCTTGTAATATATTTATATTTCTGTGATGAAAGACGCAAATCTTGGACCATTTTATTTCTCTTTTATCTATTAGTCAGATATTTACTAAGTGCAGCTTCATTAAGACTTCTGCATTACAGTATATAGTATTTTGCTCTTTAAGTCACTATAATTCGACCACTTGCTGGGAGTCCACATCACACAAATAAATATAAATTAAAACAAACAAATGAAAGGGAAAAAATGCCAAAATAAACATAATTACATTAATTTAATCTATTTCAGTTGTGTTTCCAGAGAAAAAACTTGGGTATATCCCTTTGTGACTTGAGGGAAATATGACCATCAAAATGACATGAAAGTGCTTTTCAGCTTTACTGCAATCTTTCCCGTTTCACTCTGGATCTTAACAAATAAATGGGGAACCATTTATATTATTTCATCCTCTCATGCCAGGGCATTCTTGAGGAGGATTGCCCAGTTTAAATGCATTGGAGTGAAAAAGAAAAAAGTGCTGCAAGGTAAATAGGCCCTTTGTGCAGCAATATTTCTTTTTCTCTTTGTAATAACATCAATCTCAAAGCATGGTAAAGTAAAGCATTTTATAAAGTACACACCACATACAAAAACACAGAAATTTTTATTTTAGAATAGAAAATGATGTTACACAGACACTTGTCACTTCAGTTTCATCTCCTGACAACAAAGGTCGCATGATAGGTCACATGATAACATTTGACCACTGATTTCAGACCTCAAACTAAATATAATGTAAGTAATAATAACCATTCAAAATAAACTAAATCATATGTATAATTGTTTATTTAAGAAACATGTACAAACAGCCAAAATCATGATTGAAATTATAAAAAGGTCTTAGCCACATTATTGAACCAAATATTAAATAAGTATCTTAATAGGCTATAAATATAATTTGTGTGATAACTTGACATTCCTGTTTTGTTAGTACAAATTATTATTTATTTGGAGCCCTGGCCTAAATATAGCACAGAGAAGGTAGGTGTCCATATTCCTCAATAAAGGGATAAATATATTCAATCAATCAAGAAATGAGAAAAGTTTCAATTTGCCATTTTAGTATTTTATTTTATACATTAGGTTTCATACCTTAAAGCCAGTTCAGATCAAAGATGGGGGACAAACTAAGATCAATGAGACTAACGTAGACCGTTAAATGTTTCCTAACAATAATTATGTAGCGCCACTATTTCTAGAGTCTTGTTTAACTTGTAGCTTGATTGATCTGACCCAAAATGGATGGCAGTGAAAGACTGCAATTGCATAGTTTAATATTTATTTAACTATTTATTTAACACCAAGCAAAGCAGTCACAGAGGGTTAAGATGTGAAGCTGCAGTAATTACGGGTGCTACAGAGTCATTTAGTAATTTAAATCTGCAACATGAGGTAGGAATCAGGAATATTTTATCTTCCTTCAATTTCATGGATTTCAAACATCACTTGGTGGAGCAATTTGACAAGCCAGTCACTGTCACAGTGATAACTTCACTAAAAATGAAATGTTGACCCTCTGTGGACTGGAAAGATGTCTGTTGACAAGAAAATCGTGTAAAAACATTCATAGAAACTCCCTCAAACCCCTTCTCAGCTGTCTAAAGAACAACTCTGTCCAAACTGCAGCCATATGTTTTCATAATATGCTATGTTTAGCAACAGAACTGTAACCATGCTGCTGACATACATTATGATCTTGTCACAAGTCTTTGATGTTAACTGGCTTATATCAAGGTCTGATGATTTTATGAGGTCACTTTTCACATATATTATCATGCTCACTGGAGTCATAAATTAATAAGACATTGCTATTGTCGATTCCAACATGTCTCAGTTGCACAAATCTAAATAAATTAACGTCTGAGAACTGTAAATCATAGAGGTGACACCATACTGTACCTCAAGGACCAGAGGTAGTGATCTCTATTAAACATCAGGCTATAAACGAAGATATAAAAGTTCTTTAACGTGATCTGTTCCCTTCTTGCAATATTGCTGCCCTTAATTTCCCCAGTAACAATTACTCCCTAGGCTAAGAGACAAAACTGTTCCACTTGATAAATCACATTTGTCACTGTAATTTCTACGGCCAAAGACACTCTGTGAGACTCTGTAAATTCAGAGTCATGCCTAGTCTTTAACTTTTGAAAATTCCGGCAAATTATCTGCAATTTTACATCAAAATGTCTCAGGGCTGGGCGGTATATCGGTATAATGACGTATACCAATATAATTTCACAAGAGATTAGACAATACCATTTATACCGATACTGTTTGAAGTTTATACCGATATAGTTTGACGTTTGCTCCTCTATCTCTCTCTCCCTTACTGTGCAGCCTGCCCCTCCCTCTGCGTCTGCATGCAGCCGTCTACTCAAAAACTAACAACATGGAGGTGCCAGATGTGTTCGGGTGGTCAAATCTGCTTGGGGTCCTGCGCCTGTCCGCTACGTCACACTATGGCAACGTCACACTATGGCAACGTCACACTATGGCAACGCCACTCGGACAAACTACATTGTGCCACATTTACAGATGTAGGTATCAGATCTGCTTGGTGTGTCATATTGATAAATATGTTTGCTTTTATTTCACATTTGCTTTGGCAATATGGCAACAATGCACAGACACACTTCAGCTTAACTTGGCAGCTAACATTAACAACATAATGTTAATTAACCGATCGTGGCCTTTCTGCTCTCAGGGCTTTTACAGCTGATGGTCAGGCTGTGGAAAGTCACATTTAAACGTAATGCTGTATTTCATTGTATAAGTTCTCCCAGAGCCTTCCCCCAGAGAACTCTGAATTCTCCATAGTTGTCCGTATGTATGTCTGTAAACACTCCCACATACAACTAATCACAATTTGCCACGTCATCACACAAACGTACAGCCATTCACGTTATGTTACATTACCGGCAGGCGCAGGACCCTGAGCTGATCTGACCACCCGAGCACATCTCATACCTACACCGGTAGACACTGCTGAAGACCCGGCTATAGACCCGCCGGTTGGAAAAGTCCAGAAGACAAGTTCTGGGTTGTTTTTTTTTAGTCGACTTTATACAACGTAGCCTACTACTAATGGAGAAAGTCACTGGAGCAGACGGTGAGAGAGAGAGACTGAAAGAAGCGAGTTACGCTGACATGTTTCAATAAGCGAGTGACACAAGATGGAGAATGAAGTATAAGCTAAGAAACAAGCTAAGTTACTACAAATAGTAAAAACATGCCCCCCCACCACCACCACTTAGCAGAAAATACCAATATTTTCTACCATAATTCTGCCTAATAGTACCGGGATATGACTTTTTGGTCCATGTCGCCCAGCCCTAAAGCGTCTATTAATTTGAAACAGCAAAAATAAACCAAATTATCTTTAGAACCACCATTGCCAATTCAGTCTGCGCATGACCTTAGATAGAATTTTACAACACAAACTCTACTCTCTAGCTTTTACAAGTCCACACTGAGCTGTCTTAGGAAATAGAAATCATCATCCATATTCACATCATCAGGTTAAAAAGAGGGGAAAGGGGGGCAGGACAGGAGCCATAACAGCAGCTTACCCTCATCCACGTCGTCGTTGGACATGATGGCAACGCACTTCTCCCACACCATGCGGATGTCAGCCCGATAGCGGTCACAAGCCCAGATGAACATGGGCAGGAGGATGGACTGGGCAATGGAGCACCACAGCACACACAACACCATCCAGTTGTAGGAGCGGTCAAACTTCAGACTAGCAAAGCTCACCACCTGGTCAGGGTCCGCAAAGGGTTAGAAACAATATAATCAGCTATCATACTGTAAGGCGAGGTCTTGGACTCTCTTAAAATCCATTCAGCGATATTGAGAACACTGATAATAACATGGATTAGGTAGACTGGTCTGTACACAGTAAAACAAAGCTACTATTTATTTAGTCTGGAACACAGTTAATACACTGACTAATGAGGATTCACAGAACTTATTCTGAACGTTACGTGTTGTAATTCAGTTACAGACCTGTCATGAGAAGTGTCTCTGTAAAAAGAGATAAACTTGTTCTACCATCACACCCTCTGCTTTCTAATATTCAAGCTACAGTGGTAAGCACTCAGCACAAGGTTTCTGTGAGTCACTCAGAGTACAAAGTAATAAGCATTATCCCTCAGATCCAGTTCTATATATTAATACATGTGACTATATAATGGCAAGAGCTCTGTCATTAACCAATTCTACAAACAACCTAGATACTGTGGCAATACAGTATACACAGGAAAAATACAATGGCCACTCATCACCTGAACTAGTGCTGCAAATAATGGATTATTTTCTTTATCAATCTATCTGTTATTTTGTTCAATACATCTATTAATGATTTATTTTACAAAATCTCATAAAATAGTAAGAAAAGTATATATACTATAGAATAAGCATACATATGATGAATCTTATCCACAAATATACAGTATGAACCAAATATGAGGAATCATATATTTTACATTGTGTCTCTAAAAGCATGTCCCATAGAGTTCAGGGAATCGTGGTGAAATGCAACAAGAACACAGCTGAAAGCTTATGTACAGGTTGCTATTGTTTAAGAAATAATTAATAATGAATCTAGATGTTTTTTGTGTTTTCCAACATTTACCATAGCTGATTCAGATGCATTCATCGGATTTTGAATGAAAGTAGCTGCGTCTAATTATCTTATTAATTTTTATCTCTGCATTCAGCCCCTGAACTGCTCCTTAATGTAGGGAAAGGTGACCTTGTTTTGAGCACTCTTTTAAAACAAGATTAGAGCTAATATGGGTTACTACAGTGAAGCAATAGAGTGCATTACCTGATAATCAAAGTTGACGGGTTCAGTGTTTCATCCTCATCTCTAATGCATCGGGCCAAGACGCTGATAAGATTGATTAACTCAAACTCATTATCTTCCTCTGGACATACCTTGAATCGAATACCAGTCATACAGCAGCAGCATCACCACTACATGACTTGATAAAATCTCAACCTGATATTGATCATGTCTGTCTACTGAACTGACCCAATCCAAAACCTACTAGGCAAACCAAGGACAGCAGAGACAACAAAAGGCATTGTGGGTAAACACAGATTTTCAGAACACATTACTTGCTGATTTTTAACACACTTTCAGAGAGACAGCATAATCACTGAATGCACATCCAAAATATTCTAACATCAACAACATCTAACATGTCTTAACACATTACAAAGCATTATTCTGGAAAAACAAGGTTGTGATGCTGTTACAGCTAATGTATTTTCCACTGACGGGTACTTTCGTTCTTTAGAAAGCTTATGAGCGGTGGAGTTCTCATCAGTGTACCACAGTGTGTTTTGAACTAAATATAAACTCCTACAGCCTCTAAATTAATGACAGGATATTTAAGTGACATCAAATGACCTGCATGAGCTTTACTAGACTATTTCAAGGGGTAATTACGCAACTACTACTGTTACTAGGCGTTATATAACGATAATCTCATGACAGTTTCCACGTTCATATAAAAAGGTTGGGAGTGTAGTACCTCACTGAGCAGTTTTTGAGAATATGCTCATATAAGTAATTCTATTTTTTTGTTTTTAAACCTCTATAATGGTTTTCCAGCAGATGTGATTTGATCCTGTTCAGTTCATTATCTATTCCTCAGTATGTCTCTGTGTAACACCATACACATTTGTACGTGTGTTACAGCTTTCTATGCATTTAAATAGCTCATTACTTCAGGCCATAAAGACAGCTAACAGACCTTTTGTTGTTTCTGTCACCGCACTGGAAACATGATCTTTTATCAGTACTACACTACTCTCTTTGTGTGTTATGCCCAAACATACAAAAACAGAATAGGATGTTGTTGTAAAAGTAATACACCATTGTCTTTTCAGCGTACGAAGCCATAAGAATACAATTTCACCTCTGATCCTGAACTCAAACAGTATAGAGGCGTGATGTTGTTAAATCTTACAAGTAAAAATATGACGCGCACTAATTAAGCCACACTCAATAACGGCAGAGGCATTATGCAAAAGAAATGGTGGCATTCCTACTATTCATGTTTCATCTTATATGGAAATTCACCAATTCATAAAAAGCAGCTGTGGTGGCTAAAGATTTGTGAGCTCATCAGCGCTGACTAATTGCTCCTACCAGCAAGGATTTAATAATGGAGTTCATTCATCGTCTCTATACCTTTATTCACATTCCTTTTTGGTGCAAACTTGGACGTGCTACCATCTCTGCAAAATCTCAGTAAGAACCCTATCTGTTCCTTGTTGTAGAGCAAGAGCTAATTTTAGGCAAATCAGTATTTTTTAAGGATGACAACAAACATGCAAATAGCAATTCATTTGTCAGCATTTAAAAAGAGAGACAATTTTTGAGAGAGCACATTTACAGCTCAGCTCTTGGTGGAAAGATATGGGCAAATGGCAGAAAACAGAAAGCATGACTTTAAGGCCTAACTTAAGATCACTTTAAAAGCCAAAACGTACAAGGTGGTACTGTGTAGTCCAGCACCTCTTGCACTGCTGTTTTCATCCTCTCACACACAGAATCAGCATTGGAAAGCATATTCTTCTTCAGAATTTTAAAATCTTTGAAGCTTTACAATGCTGTTGCTAATGCAATGTTATTATCACTCAACTGGCCACATTCCTTCTGATTGGTTCCCACAATATCAGGATGTGCAGTATCTCTGCTAAGTCACTGCTAGAATTGAAGCAAACAACGACAACCACGCAATTAAAAACCCTACAGCATATTTCTCCTGTGATTATGCAGCAAAGTATTAGTTATCTTGCTGTGTGCTCCATATTTCAGCATTAAAGGCTTGTTCAGATAGTGGTGCGTTGTTCAGAAGTTTCTGTTTGGCTTGCCTGAGGTGTACAACACTTAATTAAAAAAGGTTTGTCTAAGGTAAAAATGACTACTAACAGATGGCTTGTACAAATGATAACAGAACTGAGGCGATGAATTATACATATAAATGACAATGAGGCACATGAAATACACATAATGTTCTCCCACTTAGAAATAACAGAGTGATACCATATACAAGTCAAACCTCATTTAACAAACCCTCTACTATCAAAAATAGACTTTTAGAGAAATCCACATGGCTTAAACATGAGCAGAGGGCACTAGATTTAACAACAACAAAAGCTGTCAAAGAATATTTTCCTCATAGAAAACAGGTCTACCATGGTGACTTGCTTTTAAAATTACAGGATTGGTGATTTTTGGCTGCATCACAAGCAATACGCCTTGAGCTTTCTACAGGCTCTAACGTCTGCAAAGAAAACCGATGAATTGACTTGTTAAAATATTAATGAGAACCTGAGGGTGGAATTTGCAAACCAAATGGTGACACACTGAAAGAGAGCTCCCTCCTTCACTCACTATTAATGCACTTGAAAGATCAGTTTCTCTCAGTTACACGCTGTTTTTAAAGCCTGGATTTCCCTAAAGACGAGACAACAGAGGGAAGATGATTCCAGTGCTTAACTGTAACCTGTACCTGGAACAGTCTCTGACCTACACACATTGTATCACAGGCCAGGAAAAATAAGACTGTTGGAGATTTTTCTAATTATGTTGGCCAACCTATTCTTCTTTTTATTATTATCATTGCTATTATTGTTATTATAGACATAATTCTATCAGTACCCCTTACCCCTTTTCCACTGTAGACTGTATATAACGTCAGACACACTATCCATACACATTAAGCCTGACATACTTACAGCACCAGATTTGCAGATATTTTAACCTTAATTTCCAGTGTTGACTCAATTAACCTCCCTCACCCTAAACAGAAGTCATAAAAATGACTGCTATCAGTCTGACCTCACAGTATGTTAGTGTGTGTTTCTGTCTGCAACACACACAAAAATAATATGTAAATACTGTACATACAAGTTCTTACTGTGTCAACTGTGAGTCAGAATCATATCACAAGTTGTGTTAACTTGGTGTATATGTGTAAATCTTAATTCATATGAACCTATATCAGGTTTAAGCTACACTGCATTTTTTTTTAAAAAGCTTCTCTTTCACTACACTTGTCTTATTGTTTACCAAAACTGAAAGTTTTATTATGTGGAGCAATTATTTATAATAATGTTCTTTCCGTTATTTTATATTTGCATGTAGAAAAATGCATTCGCATTTTATTGCATCAAATTAAACAAGCAAAGAGATTTCTTGCAAACTTGCAGCAGTTATACATTTGCAACTTTGGAAACAAGTTAAAAATCTTTTTTTTTATCGTGCAGAAGACAAAACTCTTTGAGTCCTGGAAATACCGCCAAACTGACAGGCAGTGTTGCTAAACAACCTTCTGGTTTTTTGAAAGATTACTAGGGATGTGTGTTTTAGACAATCCCTGGACAGATATTTGCCTCTGTGAATCAAATGCCATGAGAGGCACAATCTTAGGCTACAATCTTATGAACTCTAAACTGATGAATGCCTGAAACCATACGCACTCAGTCACAACTAATCCAGAAGTCTAAGCTCTGTGTCTAAAGTTTGACCTGTTAGCCAATATGAGTGAGCCCATGGTAACTCACAAATTCATTTATTTAGAATTTATCATCCACACTTTTAAACTTGTTGGTTCTTTGGCCATGCAGCTCCATTATTAACTGCAATTGTGTTTAGGCAGTGAACTCACCAGTATGGGGAAGCCAGTCAAGAAGTCGTAGATGAAGACGATACCACTGATCAGGTAGGTGATCTGCAGTGATGTCTTGAGAGGCTCCGATCCATCAATGGATGATCTGCGCTTCCCCTGGGCGTCCTCAACCACTATGGTGGGGACGTTGAACTTGTTCTTGTCGGCATTGTGGCCTGCCTGAATGGAGAAGGTCTGGAAGAGAGCGATGCCAATGCAAATCACACCCATGGCAACGCTACCACCGATCAGCAGCAGAAAGCACACGCCAAAGCCTAGACCAATCTCCGTCACAATGAATCGGCAGTCAGAGGTGTAGAAGCGGTCAATGGTGTCATGCCAGCCCACAGCAGGAAGCGTGGACAGGATGAAGGAGACCATCCAGATGCCCATCACCGTGTGCACTGCTTGCTTCTTGGTGTTACTCAACCTAGAAGCAGAACCACAGATTTTAGTATAAAGTAAGTCAAACTGCTGTCAGGTCTGCAAGTGAAATGGGCTTTTACTTTTTTTTCTGCTGTGTACTGTATGTCCTGTAGCTCAAGAGTCTTAAACTGGTGGATGTTGACTCTGATATTTGCCGAGCTGAAAAGTCACGATACTACTTCTTGGACCACTAATGCTGAAAGTATATACAGAAATGCAGGAAACTCCAAACAAACTTCAAAATACAGTTTCCAACAAGTGAAATTAGGACATGGTGAAAGGTGGTTACAGCACACTGAAACAACTCACACTACTCACCTGTGTGTGTGAAATCAGTTTTTTACATAAAACAATTAAAATGGGCACTTATGAGACATTAGACAGTACAATTGTATTTTATATGGAGGAGATTGATGGTGAATGGGACAGTCAATAGAAAGGACCTTTGTAAAACTACAATATACCTAAGCTATGGCAAAATGCTGTAATGCCACAACATGGCAGATAAAAAACACTATCCCACACGGTCATCCCTTGGATAAACTGGAGTTGAATGGTGGGAAATTGATGCTTTGCTGATGGAAAAAGATTGCTTTTCACATCCCTCGGTCTATTTGTCATCTAGGTCTATTTCAGCGTGAAGGGATTTCTATTTCCTCTCACCTCCAAGTAATTGTTACAGTCGAGCAATTTGGTGAATGTGTTTGTCCTCTGGCGGTGTGGCACTTTTCAAGGTTTGCAACAGCACACATACATCTCAAGTTATGGCAGGCCGTTACTTGTGTTCTCATTCCCAAAACTTGATGAAAGACTGTGCTATCCTGCCAAAACGTTTGTACCTAAAGTAGTGCTGAGCTGTTCAAAGCATCAGCATCAGTACATAGTCCATTAAGTTTGAAAAAATTTTTTATCACATCAGTCCAGCATCTATAAATTGGCCTCCTTTAAAATAATAATGATAAGTATATTATATATTTATATAGCACATTTCAAAACAAAGTTAAAAAGTGCTTTACAAGACAAAATAAAAAATGGTAGGAAAACAATAGTATACACAGTATAACAGTTTTAGCACTGAGAAAAAGGAGCCACATAAGAGTACAAAAAGTAAAATAAAAATAATTAAAACTATCAATAAACTAGACCCCCGGCCCCCCGCCTTGGCTTCGGGGGCCCATGGTGAATAAATGACCAGACTTTGAAATTAAAGGGACTTGTGTTTACAAGGATTTAAAATTAATGTTATGTCTATGGATTAATAGCACCACCTAGAGGCAGATTGACACCAAATTTCTTACAGTCCCTCAGGAAGGCAGTAAGGAAGAAGGAAGGAAGTTTGGTGTTCATTGGACATCCAAAACCTAAGATAAGACACTACTTCCTGTTTAGAGCGGTAGGAGTAAACATTTGTTAGCTTATAAATCTGATAGTTTTTCGTGTATCAATCTGGGGAGCGGTAACTTTTATCAGCTTGGTCGAGACATGGTCTGTGCTAAGAGAGATCGGACTTGCGGTTTCAGAGGAGTTTTTCAGTTGTGGCAATGTAGCAGAAAACACCATTATGGCACAGATGCGTGTCCTATCCCATACGATTCAGCAGCATCCCCCAAACACGTAGACATAAGGTTTATGAATGCGTACTGCACTGTACAGTAGTTATGAGGCAAAATGTCGAGGTTTTTCAGTTTTCGCGATGGGTATGGCCTATACCAGTAGATTCAGCTCGATCCACTGAACGCATTGATATAAGATTTTTGATATGTGCCTCTGTATGCGGGAGCTTCAAGCCCAAACGCAATTATCTTGCTTATAGCGCCACCTAGCGATACAAGAATTTTTGTGCCTAAGGTACTCTTGGGTCTCTGTACCTACCCTATGAGTTTCACTTACCTTCTATGCCGCAGTATCACTTTTATGTACGGAAGAATAATAATAAAAACGATTACAATAGAGTTCCCAGCCCCACTCGGGTTGGACCCCTAAATAAGAGTTTAGAGTATGCCTTTGTAGGTATTAAGAAGTGACTAAACAGATAGAGGTGATGTCAGACAAACCCTGTGAAAGAGCACTTACAAAAATATGTTTTTAAGAGGTATTCAAAAGTGAATACGGAACTTGCCAGTCTGATCTCCTCATGGAGGTTGTTCCAGAGAGTGGGGTCCCTAACAAAAGTCCAGAGCGGGCCTTAAAAGTCATAAATAATAACTTAAAATAACTTTTTATTTACAGGGCGCCAATAAAGAGAAGCTCCAATAAAAAGTGGATATAATGACAAGGGATATGTAGACAGAATGTTACGATTTCCATAAATGTACCCCTCCTGCTTCATTTAAAGTTGGGAAGGAACAGAGTAAATTATCCCTTTAGTGTCAGTTGTCCAGGAGCCATTTTGGCACAAAACCCAATCTGTCTCCCTCAAGAGAGCCAGAGCACATGTCGCCTATCCTCTTCTTCTTCTCATTAAAATCCTCTGGTGGAGTACAGGCTGGATATAAAATATATCCCCTTACATACACAAATAATATAACATATAGTTTTAAATAATTGTAACTAGTATTGCATTAGCTTACATGCAGCAGTATCCTCTGTCTTTGCACCATGGCTTTGTGCAAAGACAAGTAGGTCTTGTTGTCACTGTGATTAATTATGCTAGCCTTTCCTGAATGTGCCTGGGGTACATAGGATGGGGAGGTTGCATCACCAAGCTGCTTGAATCTATTACCAGAGAGAGAGTGTTGTGAGGGGAAAAGCTCCAAAAAAGATAGTGAGTGCAGGGTGATGAGAACAGCTGCCGAAGTACAAGGTTGGAATTCATAATTCAGGCCTTCGGTGTGTGTTAATGTCAGAGACAAGGCAGCCATGCTACCTCAGCAGGGCAAACGTGGAGCGATTTAAATGAAAGATGAACAGCAATTACACGGTGCATTGCCTGAGCTATCACTCCACCATATCGGTGTTAAAAGTGACTTGAAAACAAGAAGAGGAGCTGCTGAGTGCAAAGTCAATGCTTCCAGACAGGAGATGGAAGAATACAGTCAGATGAGTGAGACAACAGACGAGGAAGATAAAAGCATTTGTGTAAAGCCTGATATCTGTGTGGGCATCAGCCAATAATGACAGCTGCACAAGCAATATAGATAGCAAGATTTAACATCGATTTAAGAAGAAGTTTGCATATCTTATTTGAACATCTGCTAATCTGCAGAATTGGCCAAGCTGACTGTAAGCTGAGCATCTACAGGCCTGATGCCATAGAAAGTACAATAACTCTTTGTTTTTCAGTCGGGGAGGGTGAGCGAGGCAACAGAATACCGTTCTTCACTACATGGACCACAGCCTAAGTTTCTGCACCATTTCAATAACCCACATAGTAGCTTGTTTGTACTGTGCAAAAATGAATAGCAATTTCATATGTGCTTCCACCTGTATTTGCAACAGTATCTGCTCTAGAAATGCAGTCATCTGCAAATGATTGTTCTGTGCCTGCTGACCAGAAAATTGCCATGAATAGCAATGTGGCTCAGGAGGTAGACGGTAAGGTTGGCAATTCAACATGTCCTCGGGACCCTAGATTGCTCCCAATGGTCAGGCTAGCACCTTGCATGGTAGCTCGCTGCTATTGGTGTGTGAGCATGTCTGAATGACAGGTGAATTGTACAGCGCTTTGGATAAAAGTACTATAGAAATGTAGTCAACTTACCATTTAATATTTACCAAAGCCAAGACCTCTCCAAGTGTGCTTCAAGGTGTAAAGTAGCATTTTGATCATTGTATGTGCTTAATATGCTGCTATCTAACAGTATCATTTTAGATAAAAAATAATGTGCTTAAATCAAAGATATCATGTTGTAAATCTGTGGTTTTGAAATCAGAAATGAGTGTAAAATACAAAAAATCAAAGCAACCCATCCGCCATCATGATAATGATAACTGCCAACATTTTGTCATGTTGTAAAAGTGTAATTTTTAAATCAAACAGTAGCCGAAAACAAAACAAAATAACAAAATAAGAATTAAAAAAATGGCTGTTATCTCAGGACAGGTAATGTTAAAGCAGCACTTGTGCATCCCTGAATACAGACAGAAATAGCATCAAAATCTTGTTTCAAAAGGAAGCAGCGATGTTGCTCAGAACATCTGATTACGTGTGAACAGCAGATGTCTTGGGAGTCTAACAAAACCAGAATGGTGTTACTGCAGCAGGTTGCTTGAATGTGAGGTGAACCTGATCTTCATTATTCAGTGTAACTTTGTAATTTCACTTGTTGTGAGGAGCCAAATGAAGCTAAAGCTGACAGATGCTAAGTCTAGAGGGTTTTACATGGTGTTACCCCAAATAACTGCAACCAGCAGATGTGTTGGCAGGAGAGAGATTTCATCTGATCCAGAAAATCCCTCTCAAAAACGGAGGTAAACAGGCTGACAAGTTACACTAATCATCGTCCCTATCCTTCTGAGGGATGTGCTCAAAATGCAGCAAGGGGCCCTAAATTTGCAGCTTAAATGCCTGAATGTTCTTTCGAGGTAACTTTGGCAGATGTTGTGTTTACTGCAGGAAGTTGGAATTAAAAATGTCTTTTTACAAATTCGATTGTTAAGAACAGAAAAATTGATGGTTGAATGTAAAAAACCTGGATCAACAATATTGATCTTAGTAAAAAAAAAACAAATTGATGATGATGTTTGACGATGTACTGTACCACTAGTATTGACTAGTCGGCCTATAAAATATCTGGCATTTAAGGGCGCACTAACACTACGCAATCCGTACCGTGCACGGGTATGGTTACCCCCTAAAGTCCGGTTCGTTTGACCAGTGTGATCGCTCCATGCCGTGTACGCACAGTTAAGCCTTGGCACAATATGTACATAATATGTCATACTGTGAAGAATGACAGTCGATTTTGACCTCCAGCTATGTACAGGGTGCTTACCTAGACAACCCAGCTGTGATGAACGTTCACATAGCTCTCCTTATTAGCTAGGTTCCTTACATGCTTGCTAATAACCTTATTGGGTGTCCGACAGTGACAGTTGTGTTGGACAGATTTGTGCAGTGGTGTTCATGAGAGAGAGGTGGAGAGAGAGAGGGAGACAAGGTGCTGCGCGAATATATGCGCAGCACTCTGCAGTCAACTACGATTTTAAATAGGCCTAGTAAAAAAATCACATATTAATATGTGGAGGTCGGCGTTGATACTGTAGCGAGCCGCCACAAACGTGGGAAACACTGACCCAGTGATGAATGTAAATGTGCACCATTGTGAGCTCAGGCCAGCGGGGGAGGGGGGACAATCGTGCTCGGGCACGGTACAAGGCAACTGGGCCTAGTGTGAGTACGCCCTAAGATAATTAGCATCGGTCAATACCTGCACTCGCAATGCCGATTTATCATCCTAAATGAAAACGCATGTAATCTAAAACCATTACTGGCTAGTGTTAAATATATATTCATATATATGAATATTGATATATATTCACATATTCTGTAGAGAACAATGCAGTTGAGTGATGCCACTTCTGACAAACTGTACCCCACTCTCCCTTAAACACCAGTCACATTCTGAAATCTACAGCATAACTCATTGTTTTATTAATTTAAAAAAAAACTCCATGTAAAACAACATGCAACTGGCTAATATAACCACATATAATAGATTGTACTATGCATGGAACAATGGAATTATATAAATAACTTTTTTTTTTTATATTGGCATTATCGGCCATTGAAAACCCCATATCATCCGACCACTACTTTACTTCCAAATTACAGAATATACTGTATGTTGAAATGAGTGCAATGGAATGTGCTGACACATCTTAAAGAGTTGGTTCCCCTTAAATTACAAATATATATATTTGTAATTTGCATATTTTCTTTAAGGGGAGAAAAGTTGCTGTAGAATTTTTCCTTGTCTTTTTTTATTCTGTGGTCACCACAAAAAATCGATTATCCTCCACTGTATTGGGGTGAAGGCAGAAATCTCAGAAACAGAATCTCAAAACTTGATTATGCGCAAAGTTATCTCTAGTGGTAATCATGATACCTGCCTTGATACTACAAGGCATACATCTGTGATTTGGGTAAAATGACCCTTTGAAAATGGTACCACCTAAACTAAGAGTGTAATCTGAACAGGCATAAACAGTTTGTTTTAAACAACAGCCTCATGTGTCTTACCTGTAGTTTACAGGCCAGCGCACCATCCACATGCGGTGATAAGAAAGCGAGGTTACAGAGAAGCAGGTGACCAGTGTGAGAGTGTAGAAGGTGGAGACAAACACCTTGCAGAGACCCTCATTCCACTCGTAGTTAGAGTGCTGACGGCGCAGCGTTATGACACAGTACATAGTGATGGGGATGGCCATGTTGAGGATGTGCGTGCCTGCCAGTGTGCAGATGAGGAACTCCAGCGGTTTCCACTTTTTCTGCTTGGCACTGACGCTAAGAATGCTCCAAGTGTTGGCCAGGATGGACACGCCTGAGCAGACCAGCCAAGCCAGCGTGTTGGCGTTGATGACATCATCCTTCATGGTGGTTACCTCATCCACCATGTTGGAGCAGGGCGGAGCCTGTGGGGCCGCAAGGAACTTATGGCAAGAGCAGGTACACCCGAGGAGAAGGAGGAGGTGGTGATGGGCAGGAGGGGATGCAGGGCGTCGGGCAAGGCAGGCATCCTATCTGGGTGGGTGTGCACTCTCCATGGGATGGGCACAGCAGGGAAAGGACATGGTAGTGCTGTGACACAGTGGGATGTTAGAGAGGGAGGATGGAAGGGCCAGTTCCCTTACAAGCCTGAGGCTGGAGAGGGGAAGAGAGAAAAGAGGCAGGCACAGGGATCAGAGAAAGAAGACTTATTTTTTTTTCACTTGAATTTACTTATAATAATAATAATAATTTAATTCTGAGTCAGTACAATTCAAAATACCATCATACATAATCCCTCATCCCAGTGAACTAATTGGGTTGTGTTAATCACAACAGTTTAACTATTACTGAAAGCCTTCCATTTCACAGGGTTAAGAGATAACAGTAATCAGTCAGCAGGGCTCATTTTAAATATAGCATAGCGCAACAGTCATTTGCAACAGTTTTATTTACAAAAAAAAAATCATGAATCGCAAACTATCACAAATCTAAACTGCTCTAATGATCATAACTGTGCAGGAAGAACTAAACACTGAATGGCGACACTTTGAAGGTGGTGCCACTAAAAAGAGGTTATTCTACTGACTTATTGCTGAAACATTAAGTTAATTAATCCAGTAGTCAGTTCCTCATTTTGTTCCACCCCTATACCCCTTGTAACATAACTCAACTGAATCTTATGCAATGTTGTTATAAAGAGCCATTGAGAGAACGCATATATATTGCTTGCTACAGCTTAGGTAAGATGTTTAGGGCCATGTCCATCATAACACAGCTGCAGCCAGAGAATCATCAGGACTGAAGAGTGAAAAATGCTTGGCACAGCTAGAGCGTGTTGTCACATCTATTTCCTGTCTTTTGGCTTGTCCAAATACTGAGTTGCTGTAGGCAAGACCCCAAAGAGGGGACACTGGAAATGACAAAAAAACATGTCATCATCACCCTGCTCTCACCTTACCTGATCTACTCCTCCTTTCTTTCTCTTCCCTCTAACGGCACCCTAAACCAAGCCAATCAGATTCAGAGCTGATAATGCAAGAGGTTATGAGGCAGCATCTATACAATCCACAGGACATGTGTAACCATATGAATCAGGAGATGGTCCTGTAAACACATCATGAAATATTCTGCTGGTTCAAGAAACTGCATACTCACACCCAACTCTAGTGACTTTATTGTTTGGCAAAGGGAGAGCAACACCAATTAGTTTCCAAGTAACATTTAAAATATAAACTCTCACTTTTATTTCAAGCAGAATGTGGCACAGTGTGTTAGGAGGGAAATAATCGAACTACATCAACACACCTACTGAAAATGATACTAAAATGACATCTGACAGCCAGCAGTGTCTCATTCTTGGAAAGCCGAGAATAACAAAATGAACCAAACACAGTCTGGACTTACTCTTGTATTCAGCTTGTTCTTGTTCTTGTTCTGTGGTCTTAATCTCCAATTACACCATAAGGTAAACTACAAACAGCTAAATCCATCATACTTAGTTATTAAGTTAAAGGGACTAGACATGATCTCCCTGCCACAAAACACAGGTTACAAACTGTAATATAGTGGTGTGAATTTAAACAAACACAAAACATTGACTAATTGAAAAAGATAATAACCAGACTATTCCAAGAACATTTCACTATGGAGACAATCAAAGGAAACACACAAAAAATTGTTATCACACTCTAAAAAAACTAAACAAAAAACACATTAAACCAGGCTGGGATATAAAAAGAATGATCCAGGAATCCCGAGGTGGTTGGTATGGACTGAGTTTCGTCTCACATTCTGTCCGGTTGACTGTGGACTGAAACCTCAGTTGAGTTAAACAGTAAACACAAAAACAGTGCCAAACAATCCACCATGGCTTGAACAAAGTCCACCTAAACTGGTGCCATGAGGAACATACAGTAAAAATCTGTTTTGTGTATGTGGGTAATATTGTTTTGCCTGCCAGTGAAGGAACAGTAGGGTTTCTAAATGAGGAGTTAAGGGTGGTCACAGTGACAACCAATTAGAACTGAACAGACCAAACAGTCATGCAGTAAACAAGTATTTGTGTGAGCCTCAGCCACTTCCACCTGTTTCAGGTCTTAGACCCGGAGTGGATCACAGCCTTTGGTAGTATTTGATGAAACATAATTTCACCTAAACACATATCTCTCAACCTCTGAATCATGGATGCCTGCTGCCAGTATCACATCCCCTGGATTTTCTCTGTCAATTACCACACCACTCCTCTTCATCTTCCACACAGTGTAAAAATGCTCTACTGTGTCTTTTCTTTTAACGCATGTACTGTATACATTCTGTCCAGGTAACTGTTTAGTGAAAATGTGAAATAAATGTCAGCTCCATGTGTTATTCTCCAGGCACAGAGCCACAGATCAAAAAGTACTGCTGATCTTATCACTGAATGTAACCAACCCTTTTTCCATTAAACATCATTACATGTTGACATACCTATGAAATGTGGACACTGGGGATAAGTATAATGGCTACAAGTATATAACAAGTAGTCATCATATGGCTGCTGTATGTGAAAGGGGTTGCTCACAGTGATGATAAACCTACAGAGAATTATCAGCAGACTCTGCAGTTCCCCACGACTATATGGGCTTTTATATCAACCTTCGGGTGATTAGCTCACAACGTTTCTGCTTCACCGTCATTGCTCTGATAATGTCAGCTGTCTCCACGTACTGTGTAACTAAGTACATTTAGTCCAGTAGTAAACTTAAGTACAAAATTGAGGTACTTGTACTTTACTTGAGTCTTTTCTTTTCATCCCACTTTGTACTTCTATTCCACTAAATTTAAATGGGAAATAGAGCTTACTTAAGATTATTATCTGAAAGTTTCAGTTACTAGTTACTTAACAAAAATTATTTTTTAAACTAAACTACCTAACAGTATATACAAGTACAGCTGAAACAAAGACATCATGTAAACATCTGTTTCAATTCCAATAAAGCCTTTAAATAATTTAATTTTTCTATTTTAATATATATATATATATATATATAATATATATATATATATATATATATATATATATATATATATATATATATAATATATATATATATATATATATATATATATGTGACTTTGTACAATTGGTTGGATAAAACAAACATTGTCACTCTGGGCTCTCGGTACTGGTGATAGGCATTTTTCATTTTGCATTTCTCTATTTTTAGAATACAATCAAACAAGCAAATCCAATATTTGAAATGAAAATAAGTTAGCTATTCATTGTAAATGAGTTTGCAGTCCTGCTTTTACATTAACGTCACAGCGGTCATTTTTCTGAAGTTCAAAGACCATTACCATTATAATACTTACATACATTTACTTAAGTAACATTTTTAATGCATGATTTTTACTTACACAACACTTTTCCCCTTTCTAACCATTCAGCTGCATTTGTACTTTACCAACATAGATAGAGTGCAGCAGAAAATCTACTCTAAGGCCTTCTGCTTGGGTGATTCATGAGGCTCAAGGGGGAAAATGACAGCTTTCAATTAATACAAGAAATTGCAATAAGGTCTCACAGGATTTTTCTACCTCTGGGAACAGCTGGAGGTAATTGGTGATGTTAACTTTTATAATTTCTTTTTGCCAAATTCTAAGTTTGATCATTCTTGCCTTTCTGTAGAGCCACTCTCTACCTCAGTTTGTGCTAGTTAAAATTCACTGCTAGTTCACATATTCAGAATGTGTTGACGGCCAATGTGTGATACCGTATAGATGCAGGACAGAATTCATAGATGATTTCCAGATGTCTGTGAGACTATTAATGCCACTGTTGATGCAGAGCATGAGCACAATTTATACTTTCTCCAGCATTGTACCAGTTCTGCTTATGCACATTTAAGCTCAGTAACATTTGTCATCATTCTGATTAAAATTCAATCAAGCCCACCAGCCACCTCAACCAGCACCTGCCTAACAAGGCCAAAACATACAAGAAAAGTTGATTAAGATGCACCTAATCACTTTAAATTATTTTTTCACAGTGCATATTCAGAGGTCATCAATGGAAAATGCAGACACAGTTAATTATATCTACAATGTGGGCAATACTCTACAATACACCAGCCTAGACTATGAATCAGATTTTATGGCATTATCATCCAATTATTCAGAGTCAAATTTAAACTTCACCACATGCCTCTCTTGTGTAAGTTGGACTAATTACTATACTTACACCAATTAAACCAACCTTATTACCAGACACAAGTGTTCAATGCCTACAATTGTAAAATCTTGCTTTATCTAGAAATATCTAGAAAAGACAACTGAGGTATGGCTAAAGGTATGGCATATGATTGTATGTATGAAGTATATAGTAGTAGTAATAGAAGTAACAAGTGGTATAGTGGTGGTCATAGGAGTATTAGAGGAAGTTACAGGAATAGCAGGGCTAGTAGTTGTAGCACTGGTTTTATTTAAACACTGACGGGCTTCCTAACCATAGTGGAACTAACAGCTCGTTTACCCACAATCCCCTGGGCCTCCAAGCCATATCTGTCCTCTACACAGGGGAAATCTGCACTGACAATTGCACACATGCTGTAAAGACTTTCTCTCTCTAACGTCAAGATGCTGAATGTTAACAGAATGGCACAAATTCATCGAGGTGTGGATACAAGGACGATCAGGAAAAAACAAATGTGGTAGCCTGTTCTGCACTTTGTGTAGCTTACATGAACTGTTTAAGATAAGGAACGATAAGCCTTGGAACAAATAATAATTTATTTCTGAGACTTTTGCCATCAAACAATGCTTGTTCCCATACCTATAATAACACTGAGAATAATAAAATAAAATAAAATACTTAATAATCAGGTTATGCTCATTGGCTCATAATTTCAATGATAGAAATAATGCTTTTAGGTGTAACAAGCTTTGGTGGCAAAGGCACATCCTTCATAGTGCTTCAGTTCCTAATATGGTGCCCCACTAATGTTTTATCAGGGTTTTATATAATAGTGAGATAAATCAGAATAAGTCAGATTAACTTTTGCAAAATTACATCTCAGAGTAAAATATAAAGTAACAGCAAATTAGGTAAATAAATCTTACTTTTAGCTCTGTTAGCTAGAAATATCAATAATTTCCCCCAGCAAACTGTAGAAGAT